TTTGTGATTTCGGTCGACTTCGTTTCTCTAAAATTTTACAGTAGTGGTGATTATTATAGTACAAAGTATGTTGTAATATATCTTACCTAATTTTTTTCGATTTCTATTTTCTATCATAGTATCTACTGCTCTATAAAATGAATCGCATTCATCTTCCGACACAAAATTTAAGCCAATATGTCCATCCTAAACGAATAATGAACATAAAAGAATAGTTTTTAATGTTAATTTTTTCTTGCCGAGAGTGACGAAAAGAAACTATTTAAAAGTTAGACAGATTCGAATAACAAAGAAAAGACAAGGACAATAATTTATTTAATTTATTGAAATTTGGCTGATCATACAACGTTGTTTCGAGTATTGCCAAGTACTCATCATCAGTAGTCTTAGGAAATATTCGAATTTCTTAATTAGTTTAAAGTCCGTATATAATTTGTTTGGATTGCAAGTGCCAGGCTTGCATTTGTCCATGTCTATTTTTTGCTATTCGAATCCGTCTAAACGAATTAATGGAATTTATTATTTTATAAATTATAAATTTGTTGTTAATTGTTAAATTGTTGAATAATATACTTTTTTAAAAAATCAGTTTTAAAAAAAATTTTTTTATTCCAACATTTCGACTATATTTTATAGTCATCTTCAGTGTACTCTGACTCTTCAGTACTTTGAAGATGATTATAGAATATTATAGATTATAGAATACGTATAGTATATAGTCGATTTATAGGTATAAAAAATGTGTTTTTAAAAACTAATTTTTTAAAAAGTGTTTTATTTAATAATTAATTAATTGAGTTAATTAATCCAACTCAAAAACAATATATTAAGTGGAATTATTAGTAAAACCAAGTGTTACTTACGTGTCCTTCGAAAGTCAATAGGAATGGGCGTGCCTTTATTATTTTCATGCCATCATAGATTTTATGTTCCCAAATCAGTTCTTCTTTCATCAGACAATAAGCACGCAGGAAGTATGAACGTATAGCATTGTCCTTAATAAAGCACACAATGCCGGTATGCTTCTTTTTCCAGTGTGAATGTGCGGAGCCTTCAGTTTTAAATATTTGCACTACAGCTGTATTTAAGGACTGTAAGAAAATGAAATTATTTATTAATGATGTTATTACACACAAATTAATTAATTAAATTTAAATGAATTAATATCCTTCATTAGTCCATTAGTCCCAACCTTAACCGTCATTTAAACATAAAAGTGATTTGTTAGTTGCGATAAGAAATAACTTGGATTTAACAACTTGTGCTCCTCACTAACGCACAATAGCGTCTAAAGCACATTGACCACTTTCGTTTTCGTTTGTCTAAATGAGTTGACAGAGCTAAGCAACAGAGCTAAGTACCATAAGTAAATGTTAGCGTCTATTTTTACTGACAAAAGTCGCTTATTTGAATACAAATTACAGTGCGTGGCACTTTATTAAAGCAATAAATAGATATACAAATAATCTTGACTCTAAGCAAAGTTGAAGTCGTTGCCATTGCAACTTACTTTTGCACTAAACAAAACGTCGTTTGCATTGCGTGCACGTTTAGCTGAGCAGATATCAGCGTGTCGCCAATAGCGAATGCAGAGTCTATACTACTACGTATGTTATTACCGAAGTCGGATTACGATTGCAGCAAACTCTTGTCTATTTGATCACTGAGATTTATGTAATGTTTTGCTTTTCTTTTTGGCTACTATTTTAGTTACAAAATTTGAATATTTTTGTCATAATATTGCAGCAGTGAAAGGAAATGCAAGAAATGTTTATGTTTAGGCCAGAAAATTTTGAAAAGGCACACAAAGTCGTTAGAGTAAAGAAGTCTGACTTAATGCCTAGGTATAGCCAATAACTAGTTGTTAAGTATAAATGATTTATATATTATTTTACCTTCACATAATTGTGCATAAAGGGTATATTAGGTTTGTCAAAACGTTTGTAACATAATACGGTGAACAAGATGAATGTAAATTAAGAGTTTTTAATCAGCATGACTAGTCGTATCGATCTTATTATAACTATTTGACAATATATCGAAAATTTACAACTCTACTAGTTGTAAAGTTAAATAAATTAATTTTATATGGGAGATAGTTATTTGCAAATTCACGCAGATAAAATGTAAATATAAATAAAATTGGTTGACTATATTATACAGTGTCCCTACAAAACTAATTTCTAAAAGATATAGAATTTCTATTCAACAATTTGAATAAAATGAGGTTTATAGGCTAAACCGTTTTCAAAGGCAATTGAAAAATAATTGATTTGTAATAATATAATATCTATTATATTATGAAAATTAGAATATCTGAAATGCAATTAATTAAACTCTTAACTAACTCTGAAGAAAGTTGTCTTTCCATTTAAAGATTGGTAATAAAGAACTACACATCCATTTAAAAGATCCAGCAAAACCATTGATGACAGGTAAAACTTAGTTTTAAATCAATTTTATACATAACTAACAAATAGACCTAACCAGCATACATCGAAAATATTTTAACAAATGATCTAGATATATTATATTACATATAATAAAGCATATAAAAGTACTATGGTATTCTGAGGCCCGGCGCATATTGGCGGAGAAAAAAGCGCGTGTGCACTCTGCCTCCTGGCCACTGCTTAATATGATCTAATGTATCGTATGATAAAACGGTTCCAGCGTAGTTGGTATACGCTGCTTCTTATGATCTTATACATCTTATGCATTATGTAATTTAAATAATTTTTCGTTACTTAAAAAAATATAAAAAAAGGTTTTAAAAGGGATATAAAAAGAAAACATATTGATCTTCTTTTTTTTTTGCAATCAAAGATGTTTTGTATCACCCTTTCTACCATTTATTGTTTTGATTTGGTGGACAATACAAATCACAAATTTTAAACCAACGGTGTATT